AGTTGTTCTTTCTAGAAGAGTTGTAATTAACTGAGAGAACTTCAGATAAATTCATTTTCCTATCTGAACTGAAGACATTGCTAGGTTGACACATCTGGGAATGGGAAAAAAAGGATAAAAGGAAGATAAGATGATGATGGAAATTAAAGCAGAGTGACACGGTTCGAAGAAGGAGGAACAGAAATTTCAACTCTTACTTCATTACGGAGAATGTGTAAAAATAGACCAAGCTCCACATTTTGAGTTAAGAAGAGATGCAGAAAGAAAAAGATCTCAGGCTTCATTTTAGAGAGGGAAATGAGACTGTACTACTCCCTGTAAGTGCCATAGAGGAATACCAAAAGATGTCCACCACAGAAAATAGTTGACATGGAAAATCTGCATAGAGACACAGGTACTTTGGGATTGAAGGACTGAGTGTATTACAATAGTATCAGATAAGTATCCAGACTTCTAGGCACCTGGTTGAACTGCAAATCTTTCTGAGGTTCAACTTCTTTAATACAAGCACTAATGGGATTTTCTGGCAGAAAACTGACCCAAAGGAACAAAGGTAAATGTTGACAATTAGATAAGTTTTACAGTAGACTAAGTTAAGACTTGGTTACCTATGACCTTTGAAAAATTATTATTTTTACATCAAAGTAGCACTAAGTAAAAGTAAATTTGTCATTTTCAGGGAGTCTCTGGTTCCCACATTGGCAGTACATTGAAGAGAAAGGTTCTCAATTGGTATGCTGTGTTTTGCCTGGGATTGATTTACTGATGAACAAAATGTATCCTTTTAAAAACAACAATTTATTTTAGTTTTTTTTTAAATTTTATTTTAAATAAGATTTGAAGTTCTCCAAAATGTTGCTTTATTATAATATTTATTAATCTTCAATGGGATTAGTTTTGAAGTAACTGTAACTGTTAGAATTACAGAATCAAGTAGATTGGAAAAGCCCTTTAAGGTCATCAAGTCCTTTTTGCTTTACACAAGTTCTATAACCAAAAATTTAATGCTGGAAAAAACTTGGATTCTTTCTAGATGTTCATTTCTTCAGAGACCCTTAAAGCTGCTGACCACTATTTTTTTGCCAGCAGCAGTAACTGAGAATTAAAGCTGAAGAAATTCTTCTGTTATCTGGAGATCATTGATCAGGCTGTGTAATTGTTTTGGTCTGCAGTTAAACTATGAACAAAGACTCTCATGTTTCTACTTGGGATTTGGGTGAAAGTAGAAAATTGTACAATCTGCATGGTAAATCTGAGCAAGAAGATTTACAGAAGACAAACATGTATGGTAAGGAATAAATATACTGACCCTGGAACAATTTAATTGAAAGCTGCAACATTATTATTCTGGGAGCCAGGAAATGCAAGTAGTAGAATCTATGGAGCCACAACTACCAAAAGGCCATAGAGGGAGCATAACTGTAGGCAAAATAAACTTTAACTTTTTCAGAGTCTCATATTAATTTGTTTATGAATTATATCTGAATGATATAATTCATTAACATTATTTGTTAATAGTGTCTGCTATTTAATATTTTAGTTGGTGCTTAAAAAGAATCAGTGTGTTAGAAAAACTTCAGTTAGGAAGCTGCATTATACATAACTTGTGTGTTTTGTACACCTCAGGCAAAGGAAAAAATGGATTGGTAAAATGTGGTATAAAGCCTTTATCAGCACATATGGGATATTTGCTACATAAGCTACGCATGGCTATGAAACCTTTCCAAACTATGCAACCCTGAAACACCAGTCCTATGCTGCACTATCAATTCTTCTACTGCAGTATCAATTTTTCTCTGTACCCCATGCATTAAAAACATATTTGTTATAAATTTTAAAAAGGTTGAAATCTTTATGATGACTGGAAGCAACTTTGTGGAAAATCGGAACAAGGAATAAAAGATGAACAGATGAGAACAGTACAGATTGGTAGGGACAGGACAGAAGGGATCTCAGCTTCGGATACAGGCAAAAAAATGTGTATACATTTCTCTCTACAGCCTGGAGCAGGAGCCAAGGTTACTGATTCTCACTACCATTCTGCTTTCAGCAGATATGTTTGCAGCACACCAGCCATGTTCCCCACCTCCTGGTGTCAGTTCATGTAGTGTTATACCTTCTACTGCTGCTTGCTACCGCAGTAATTTAGGTGTCCTGTATAGCAGATATCAACTTCTTATGGTTGCTGTTGGCCTGACAGAGAGCCACTAGAATCCCACGTTATGGAATTCTTGCTTCTTTTCATCTTGCTCTTTTTAAAAGAAAGGAAATTACACTCCCAGACCTCACACATGGAAATATAACAGATGTAAATGAAGTACTTCACAGTTTAAAAATTCCCAAATCAAAATCCCTTATGTAGCTTTGCTTTAGCTGTTTTGTGCATATACTATATCATTTACATGATCACATCTTCCATCTTAAGCAGCGAACAAGAACATAAATGAGAGCTGTATAAAGGATGCTGCTGTCCATAGGACTCCTACTTCCCTGCTTTCAAATATATGTGAGAAATGCAAAGATGTTTCATTTCTCTCTCTGTACCAACTTTATCAGGATGCAGAGATAAAGGACAATAAAAATATCAGTGTGATGGAGGAAGGAGATGGGTTGATTAGCCAATGAGCTTGAGACAGGGAGCAATATAGAAAAATTTTTGAAGGAAAATAGGTCAGAGTAAACGGTCCAAGTGGAAGATGGGACTGAGCAGAGTTTCGGCAGAGGATAAAGGATAGTCCCATGGCTGTTCTGGAACACTGGACTCTCTCCCGCTTTTTCTGTAGAGTTCATGCTTTTTCACAAAGGCTCAGTCACTCATGTAGGAGTGACTTCTGAATTCTCACAGCTCTAAGCAAATTCAGTGAGTACTCTGGCATTGAACAAATAAATACAGTATTCTCTACAATCTTAAGAACTCTGACAAATGGAGTCCTAGAAGTCTCAAACTAAGCAATAAAAATTATATGCTTAAATTTTCTGGCTTTAACATGGGGCTAACCCTAACCCTGACTTAATTCAGGGTATACTTGCAGATGAAAATAAACTAATTCCTTTATAACCAAGATAAAGTATTTAGTAAACACTCAGATGCAATGGAAGTAATAAATGTTTGAGTGAATTAGTAGTTATATCTTGAGAGTACAGTTGAGAAAAGTGCAGTGAATGACAGACAGGGTCTCACATGGAATAATGAGGAAAACTGAAGAAATTCATTAGCTGCTTATGCAGTGATTACTGCCTTCCCTGTGCAGTGAATTGCTTTGCTATCCTATGGAAATGTATCTGATCAGAAAATGAAGGACTGCCTTGTGATGAAAACGCAAAAGAGAGCTAAGTTAGCCTGCTTAAAATTTTGACATTCACTAACTTGAATTCACTTAACTGAGTTTTTATGTGTTCAATAGATATTATGAGAATTGCTAAATAAATAATCTATATTAAATGCTAAGCAAATAATAGATCCTAAACCTAAAAATATAACTTTAAATATGACTGAATCTTGTTCTCTTTGCTTAGGCAAAACTTGAAATAGGTAAAGAGAATGGCATGAGACAGGAGTGGTGTCTCAAGTTTAAGTTATTTTTTTTAATTTCTTCCTGGACTCTATTAGGTAGGCTTGATTGCAGATGCTTGAGAAAGGCAGAGGAGATAGAGTAATTCAGGAATACTTTCCTAATACAAGTGGAAATTTTATAAAAGGCTAGAGCAGCAAGCTATGTGCTTAAAGAATTATTCATGCTGCCCCAAGAGTCTTGTCTGTGTTTTGCTTATATAATTACATATCCTTGCACATCTACCACTTGAACCATCCTGACCCAAAATCCAAGTCCAAATCTGAGAATCTCTGGGGTTACATGCCCATATCTTACTCTGCGTATACTTACACATTCTGCCTAATCTCATTTACATTCCCTCCCCCTGCATATCACAAAGCCTTTTAGCAGCATATACCAGCATGATCAAACCTGATTGATAGTTTCAAAACACTATTTTTGACTGGGTAGGAAATAAATTATAAATTTTGTACCTACCGTTTGCATCTAGTGTCTAGAGTAGCTAAGACTAGAAAGCAATCTTACTTCACCAGCTTTCTCATGCTTACTTTCTTTTCTTTCCCATGCTTTACATTGAGGTTTGATTTTTTTTCAGGGTATGTTCTGAACTCAAGAAATGCTATTTAAGGCACTCATGTATGGTAAAGACAGAATACTGCTTATTGTGGCAGTATAAGCTATCCATTTATACTTTCCCTTCCAATTTTTTTTCCTCAGTACTTACAAACATCTTTCTGTGTTAACCATAGTACCAACTCAGGAGTACCACAATCTCATTGCACTAGCAAACACAGAGTTGCAGTTGAGCGTACAGTGCAGGAAGACAGATCAAAGCTAAGCTTCATGATTCTCTAACTTTCATTGCTTATAATTGCCATTCCAAAAGAAAAGAAACAAATTGTAAAGAATGCATTTTAAGTAGGGGAATAGCTAAGTAAACACTAAAAAACATAGTCAAATTAGAAAATTTATTAAGCTGATAACAGTGATACGAACCTGGGGAAAATTATGCAAGCATTAGGGAAAAAAGAAATTGTTTTCTCTTCCCTCCGATCTGCATCTGAGAAACTACAGCCCTTTACTGGTTGTGTAATCAGAAGTATTTCATCAGTCTGACCACATGAGAATTTTCTGTTCTAACTAGCAAACTCAAAAGTTCAGAGAAAAATTGAATAGGAATTCAAACTTTTAGGTGAAATTCCAGAAGCTCTAATTTTTGTCCATCCCTATCACGTAATGAAAACACAAAAGGAAAAACTACATCAACAGACTTATGTATAGAGCCAGCCCATATGGAATTTCTAGAGACTTCAACACATGATGCAAGTAGGATCAGTCTCTTCTGCACCAGCTCTCCAGACAGCACTTCTAATTTCTGATACAACTATACACAATTTGCAATTAAATTAATATTTATAAAGCAAGTATTTGTTCTATATATCTTACTTGAGTTCTTGTGAGCTTGTGGCCAGCATACTTCGGATGCTTTTGTCAGCCAAGGGACAGCCAGATAAACTGTAAGACATGGCAGGACATATAAGTAAGTTAATCTTCTCATTAACTGAACACTCCCAAACAAACACAACATAAAAATTAAAAAGTAAAAGTTTGTAATGCAGAAAAGCGATGGGGCAAGTGCTGTAATATTGAATTTTGTAACATAGTTAACCCTCTGAATATATTTAGGTATCAACATTACTTCCAAAATTACATGCTGCAAATGGTCTTTTGTTTGTTTGTTTGTTTCTCTAGGAACTAGTAAAATGTAACAAAAGATATTTGAGATTCCTGGGTTAACTACTTAAATGCTTAAGAATACTTTGGAAATTTTAGTAATCTATTTAAAAATAAAAGACGTCTATACAACACACAAATTAGCATGCTTTTAAGATCAACATATATTACTCAAAGGGTTAACACATAGTTCAACGTTTTACTTTGACAGCATTGTTGAGGTAAGCTGAAAACAATAAATTGAAAAGACAGAATCCACCATGAAAAAAATGAAGTCACACCTTCTATGTGAGGCGTAATTACCAGTCACATGACCACTCCCATCACACCCTGGTGTTGGACATCTGCCACCAAACAAAAACAAAAACAGCCAAAATAGTAAGTATGTTTAAAAAAAACTTTTAAAAGTTTCATTGTTTCCAGTTTAGCTGCAATGACTGCAAGGGGTTTTAAGCATCCTAATTGAAAAGCTGCAAAATGAACAGGTTTAAATGAAAATGGTGTCTCAATACAATATAGCATCATTAAGAACAAGCAAATACACGTTAGCTTATCACTTTACTTAACTGGCAGTTTGAAACATTTATATGCTGCAAATGTTGCATGCTCATACTGCAAGGCGTATATGTACTCATTTGGTTAAAATAAGACAAAGAGAGAAAGGTTAAAAGGAGAAAAATAATTTCACCTCACATTATGCTTACGTTATTAAATCCTTTTTGCTCTCTTTGCATTGAGGGTATTTGGGTTTAGGACTTGGGATAGTAACTTCACCAGGATACCTTCTTTCTTCAAGCGCCTCTTGGAAGGGATCCAAATCTTCTGGCTGCAGGTAAATATATACACATTAGTTTCAGCCAGATGAGGCTGCAACTTACACAAAATAATGCAAAGCAGAGTCATCAGATGTAACCACCTTATCTTATTCTGCCAGAGAAATTGAAATTATTTTATATCATTTTACATATTAAACTTTTGAACAATACTTGGATATTTCAATGAAGACTTAACAACATGTGGAATATATAGCTTGCTTAACTTGAAAAGAAAAAAAGGCAAAACAGCTTTTTCTATAGCCGTCATACTATTTTGCTTTAGAAGAATCAGTATTTTTTCCTAAAGACCTAATACAATATCTTATGCATCAAAAAACAATCTTAAATAACATTTTTAATGGTTTACAACACCTCAAATATGAAATAGGAGCAATTTTAATATCTACACGCAGAATCTCAGTCTGGGGCAAACCTCAGTGGATCTGTCTGGAAAAACAGAATTATACCATTTGCAATTAACTTCACTGATGCATTCCAAAACTCAAAATCCTCTGTTTTGGGACTGAAGTGGCTGAACGCATTGATTTAGCCATTCCTGCAGATGGCGCTATAAACACCACAGCAGAAATAAGGAATTCTTGCCCAGAAACAAGCATGTTGCCTTACCTCAGATTTCCTTGATAGTGACAGACATCCTAACTTCAGTGAAATTAATAGCAAAGCTGTAATTAACAGCAAAGCTAGAATGCATTCAGTGTACCTAGTGAAAAAGCCACTTTTCTATGTTTTAAACTTCCTGAAAACAGTTTTATGTTTTAATCAAAATTGGCAAGTGATGTGCTACACACAAGTGATTAGACTAATTTTCTGTTATAAACCAAGAAAAAACTGAGAACAAGCTCTAGAAGTCTCCAAAGAGCTAAACTACATTGAGTGCATGATCGTAAACTGCACAGTGGATACGGGTTAAAACCTGATGAACAGAAGCAGTGACATGGAATCTTGCCAACAAGCCTCCTCAATATCATGGCTATTCTAAGTTTTGAAAAGTAAAATAAATTCACTACTGTATTTTCTTTATTTTCCTCTTCTTTCTAAGGGTTTTGCTGTTGTCTTGGTATTATCAATTGAAAAGCAAAACTGATTTCTAAAATACTTTCTTTGTATTCTTGAAAGTATTTCATTAATACAGGCCCTTTCACAGACAGAGCTATCAGCAGCGTATAAGTAATCTAGAAGAAGATTAGCTGCAAGAGTCAAAAGCTGACATTATACTCTGCTGCTTTTGTTTAAATTGATTTCTAAGTAATACATGCTTTTAAATACTCAGCGCCTCATTTATGGTTTTCAAATTCAGAAGAATATCTTGTCTTGAGAGATGATTAACCCAGTATTGCACAGTTATGTCAACTTGCTTATACAGAGAAATGTAATCTGGATATCTTGAAATGATTTTACTGCAGAAAATATTTGTTAACAAGATGATGCTGTTAGAAAACATGATTCACATTCATGGTTCAAATGTTGTCTTATGGAACTTAGTCACAGATCAGATGTGTGCCAGCATGGTACAGTCCTAAAGATTAACCAGCAAAAAGTCCTTTTTGTATAAACCCACCATTTTAATCACATTTTAATGTTTTCTCTTTCCCTCCAAATTTCAGAAATGTAACAAATTACCAAAATCAGACTGCAACAAGAACTAATAGATGATAATAGATGAAAAAGACATACATTAATCTCTTTGGAATCATCTTCATCTATCCTAGTGGGCTTCATTTTAGTGTAGTCCACTGGCAAGTCCCAACAGTCATTCTCATTCAGTTGGTAACACCGGTTATTCATCACAGCTTGCCGTTGCGGGGACATTGGCTCCAGTGGTGTCAAAATGGTACAGCAACCATCTCGTTGCCTCTGTTTGTTCATGCTCAGATCCAACGTCCCATTTTCATCGACTTCCATATCAGGATTCTGTCAAAACAAGAAAAATACTGTTAATTCGGCTTCACACTAGCAAACTGTTACCTCTTCTTCAATCTGACTGCCTAGCAGAATGATAAAAAGCTTTTCCATTCCTGTATAGATTGTAAGCATTGAGCCCCCTCCCACACATAGCATGATGCTGTTATACAACATTAATGCTGTTAAAGCAGATTTCTTCCTGAATGGCTAATCTCATGTTTGGGGGAAGAGGAGAGAGTCTTTATTACCCCTCCTGCCACCTGGCACACAGGTGAAAAATTTGGAATTAAAGGAGAAATCTTTAAAGGTATTTTCTTGTCATTATATTTATGCTCTTGATTCATTCTGTGACAGGTGAGTATCTCTAAGTTAACATCTGCATAATTCTTGTTTCCGGTTCTGACACCTATCTGGGTGATGAGAGTAACAAAAACCAGCTAGCATCAAACAGTCTTTGTTTCTTTGTTTATTTAAGATTAACAGTCAATGCTTAAACAGATAATGCCAGAAAATTAAACAGCAAGGTAGGGTAGCAAAACAAGTCCTTTTGGACACCACATGCCAGTGAGGAAATGCATTTAGATTTCACAGTTCATTCCCTGCAGATGTAAATGTTTTAACATTTCCTGTGTCTATCTTCATAATTAATAAATTTAGGTAGCAGAATAGTTGCAACAATAATTGCACCAATTCCTGCAGCAACTGAGGTGCTATGAAAAATAGAGTGAATATGGGCTCTGACTTTTTCTTTCATAGAAACAAACATGGGTTATCTGTTATTTTAGACAAAGAGAAATCATGTATCTTAAAATGAAGACAAATTAAAAAAAAAATCTAAGGAAAGATAAAATAAAAATGCCCACAGAGAATCCCACATCTTTTCAAAAATGAAAAGCTCCATGAGAACTTGGGTTTCAAAACCAGTGTGAATGTGACTGACTTCTTGTTCGTCTGGTGACTTTCTCTTGAGTAACAACAGAGCTGCAGGGAAGCAATGTGAATGTAACTCTGTCTTTCTGAATTACTGCCTTTTGTCAGAGCATATTTCTAATTGCTGCTATCCTGCTAATTTAATTTAGAAAATACTTTTTTATCTTCTCAGATTCATTCCTTCAGTCTCAATATAGGATGACACGCTAGGAAAGAGGCCTCTTCTGATTTTGATACAGAAGATATGTTTCATTTTATTCCAACCTTTTCCATTGTGTTGATAACAACTGCAATTATTTACATGCCAGAAAGTGCTAAGTAAATTAATATAATAAGCAGCATTTGAAAACAAAGTCACCATCTATTCCGGCTAAAATCATGGTTATTACTAATACCTAGTGCTATGGGTTTAGTTTGTTATGAATGCTCTAGGGGCTTTACAGGATGAGAGGAAGATATGTAGAAGATATCTGCCTTTGTCTACATGTAGAAGAACAGAACATGTCTGCCAGCTCAAAAGCTCTTCTGTAAGCACAATAAAAATGCTTTCCTCTGCACTGCATTTGTCTACTTAGCCATCTAGTGGTCTTCTATAGGAAGTACCGTACTGTTTGTTGGTGCATGTTAAAACACTCATTTTTTAACAGCTGCCACAGTCAAAACTTAAAGTTTATAATAAAAACAATCTTTCATGAATCATATAGTACACTGTTTTTTCTTAATATATAAGCTTATATATATTTCTTTTATATATATATTTCTTAATATATAAGCTTAACGACAAAAGTCAATATAGCCATTTCACAATATACTGAGTCTCTATGAACATGCAGAACATTACTGACCCAGCACTACTGTTAAGCACATTTAAAGTCACCTATACCAGAGGATTTGTTCATTCCAAATGTATTATGCAGTGACTTCAGAACTGTGATATTACAGGCAGGCAAGAAATCATAGCATACAAGTAGCATAGATTTCTTTGTATTAGATCTTACAACCTTAGGTCCCATTTGTGACTTTTTAAAATAAAAATGCATCATTAAATCGTAATCCTTTCACAAAATGTATGAATCAGGCTGCGTTTAGCCAAAAAATCAGTAGTGCAATTAATACCACTTGAGCAATCGAAACATCTTTATAATTACACTAGTAATTATCACTAGTAAGAGACAAATTTTAAAAAAGAAGTACATGCTGCCAGTATCATCAGTTTACAAACCAATCAGGATTTCCCGAGACACTTGTGACCAATTTGCATCTTTTTTTTTTTTTTTTTCCCTTTCCTTCTCCCTGCTTTAGCAGAGCTACCAGATTATGGTAATTCTGAGAAAAAGAGAGGAAAAAAAAAAGGCAAGCTGTACTAAAGCTATTCTTCTATCTATCAGGGCCATACAGCAAGTGCAGTAAAGAGAAATCTTCATCAACAAACAGAATTACTAATTTTTACCCTTGCACAGAGATCCTGAGGCTTAGTGGAGAGGTTCTGAGGCATCTCCCTGCAGCGAGTGGAGAGATTCAGAATAGCAGTAGCAGCCATGTGCGCTGCCTCCATGTCATGAGTATAGTCAAAGCTGCTCTTGCTGCAGGTACTGCTGGCACTGCTGCCTCCACCACAACTCATATTGCTGCTGCTGCTAGGGGCATAACTGCTTGTTGTGCTGCTGGTTGGACTTGAATTCTTACAGTAGCGTTTAGCTGTGGGAAGAAATATGACAAGGATGACTCAAAAGAACGAGCATTCTGCATAAGTGAAGAGAAAAAAAAAACTGCTGGAGGTGAAATTTATAATGAGCAACAGCAACTGATGCCAAAAAAAAAAAAAGCCCGCAATAGGAATGATGGCTGTATTTCTTGATTTCTGTCTGTGACTTTTATATGCTACATATGTGAGTTTGTATGAAATAACCTCCTGTAAAAATCTGTATGATGTGACCATGAATCGTTCTGACAAACAGTCTGGATTTAGGTAACAACTAAAACACAGAAACACGGCTTTTACCCTGCATATATAGTCAGACAGAAGGTAGGATCTGCTTGGTTTATTCATTTTATTAATGAGGGGTAATATAACACTACGGGACCTTTTCTTATTTACATGAGCAAACTGTAGATTTAAGGCCTAGACTCCCCAGGTCTGATGGAGATCAAGCCCACTGTAAGACAGTCATGGTCTCTGAGCCACAGTGCTACCCGTATGTCCTCACTCACCCCATGCTTCCTAAAAGGTTTCTTCTTCCTACATCTAAGACAAATATTACAACACTGGCCATCAGAAAAGAGAGAAATGTAATGGAAGAAGAAAGGTGATAGTCACATGTGAGTTTTACCATGGCTTGCACAAAGGCAGAAACAGTGGCTGTATAAATGGAAACAGATATAAGTGAAATGTCCCCACCTTCAAACAACCTGACAACCCTCAACTCTTCGCTGAAACAATACGGACCAAAGACACCCATTCCTGCCCACTCCAAGGACAGCGGCACTTGGCTGCACTCTGACTGACAGAAGCCACAAACAGTCGCAGAAGAGCCCAGGCACTGACAAAGCTCATATCCAGCCTATCTAAACACAATACAGCACTGTTGCTGCTTCTAAGAAATGCTTCTTGCAGCCAAAGGTATTACAGTAATAATGGAAAACAGCCCTATTAGCCCACTTATTTCTCCAGCCCTCTTCCCAAATAAATGGTTTTAAAAGTGCTCATATAAAGTGCAGGAAAGTGAGCTCATCTCCTAAATCTAAAAGTTTATGTATTTTTATTTTAAAAAAAAGTCAAGGTCAGAGGATACATACATGCATATCACAGCGACTACTTGCCCTTCAGATGGAAATGCATACTTCAGAGATCATACCTTATAGCACAGTATAACAATAACCAACTAGCATGCTGATTAGGGAGCTATACAAAAAAGGTCAGGCCCTAGCTAGAGCTCTTCCATGATGGGCTCCATTTAAATGCCAGACTCTTCAGGTGTATTTGTTTGAGTGGATATACATATAATAATCTGCTCCCATGAGCATAGCCCAATTGTGAAGCACAGGCTGCTTTGGTAGGCAGGCAGGGTTCAAAAGAAGAATCTGAAAGCAAAATATCTCTGCTAGAGTTGATGTCATCCCCTTTTTCCAAAAAAAAAAAAAAAAAAATCATGGTGTTATTTTTACTGCAAAGGAAATAGTGTTTCACTTATTTCATAACAGATGGAGTTTTCTCAGGAAAGCCACATAATGCACAGGGTGTGATCTTTTTTAAGTGAAGTGAATGTTAAACATTCATCACATTTCTTTGTTTTGAACACACAGTAGCACTACTGTAGCAGAGTATCCACTAATAATGAAATCGTGAACTATTTCTTAAGAGTTTCATTATTAATATAGAAGTTAGTGGTGGTCATTGAAAATTCAGCATTTATCCATTGTTACTTTATAACAGTATACAAGACACACGAGAATTTTCCTATACTAAAGAAATAACTGAATAATTCAGTTTCTACTGTGTTAGCACAGCAAGCACCCTGTACCACTGAACTTGTCAAATTAGAAATGTCTTTCAAAATTCATATGAACAAATAAGACTTCTGTCACTTGCAAAAAAAATGTTAGTCTTGTTATAGCAGGTCACATTTAGACAGACATGAGACATACTACATGGGAAATTATATATTTATGAGAATGTGTGCTAAAGAAAGGGAGGGAAAGCAGCAGCTACATACATAGGACTACCCATCAGAAACTCATGCAGGCTCTGATATGGACTCCTCTGTGGCCTTGGTCAATCTATATTATCCCTCAATTTCACTTTCCCTATAAATAGAAAGTTGCTTCTAAAATTTGGTTGTGTTGTGATTCACTTGCAAAACACTTTGAAGATGTAAAGCACATTATATGCAATTATTAGCTTTAAGATTACCAATAATTTAGGTAAAACTTACTTAGACAGAAATGGCCATGGTTGGCTTAACTCTACCGTAGCTGTACATTTTTAGATGAGACACATAACCCAGCCTGTTTATTTCACATTAGCTTTTCACGAGAAACAAAGATCACCAATTTATAATTAATTAAATCAGGTTGATCTCTAACAAAGGAAAAGCAGCACTGTTTCAATACCAGATGATTCTGCTTGATACATCACCTAAGCCTGTGGCACCAGGTTTTGGAAACTCTGCTGCCCAACTATGCTTTGTGATCTGGAGTGAAACCAAAAGTGGAGAACACCTTTTCCCATTAAATAATAGACACAGGTCTAATCAGCTGCATACTCAAACTGGCTTCCCATAAGGTATCCCTTGGGGCTGATTACAAAGAACCTCTCAAAGTCTACACGCTCCTCTTGGTAATTAACAATGGAGGAGTGGGAGAGATCCCAACAATGTAAAGGACCAAAGGAATATACTTGGAGTGGGATTAAATTCTGCACCCTCTTCCTCAGTATTGCCTAAAAACTGAATGTGTCATGTAAATTACAGCTTCAACACGTCTTCTGACTTGCACAATAAGAGATTCATCTCACGTAATTTCAGATATCTGACCTAGTCATTATAGGCTTCCTACATAGGCAGTGAAAAAAACATAGGAACTTTCAGGCCATGATTCACATGACCAATATTAAATAATTCAGGAGGAAACTGACTGAATCAGAGAAATATCTGTCTTTCTCCTTGGATCTGAAAGGAGTGATAAGCTCAGATGTTGGTGCTGACAATAACAGAAGTCTATGTATGGTCAGATGAATCCCACTCCTAACATTTTCTCAGCGTTTTGATGGAAGGAGCCAGCAATACTGGTGGAGTGAGAGTTGCTCCTTACATCACCTGAGCAACTGAAAGTGCTGCTGTCTCCTCTGTTTGCTGTGACCAGCCGTTCTTATCTCTACTGCTGTATGCCATAAGCCCGACATCCAATACACCATGAGACTAGTTTCAAAGGAAAAACAAACCCACAGACACAAGATTTATCAAGAATTATCAGAGCATCCTACCCCACCACACAAAGTACCCATTTTCTGTTTTGTTTTTACTAAAGCTTATTGTTGAAAAAAATCAAGAAAACAATCCAAAGGAGCTATTTATGTTCATCTCACTCACAACTAAACACTTATTGAACACATAATCCATTTCTGTGATGATTAAAATACAGTATTAGCTTGCAATTAAAAAAGGACTGAGACATGAAGTTGTTGATTTTTCATATCCATAGACTAATTGTTTCATATAGTCAGAAAAAAACTAGTGCTGTTCACTTTCAAGTTTACCTAAAACCTTAGGCTTACTTTCAGGTTTTTCAGAATAACTTGTCAGAACTAAATCTGCTTTCATATAAACAGGTTTTCCTGACATACATAATAGGTATGCACCCTGTACCTCCATAAGGCCTCTAGTAGCAAATAATTAATAACTTTTTTGCACAAAAATATGAAATCTCCTGAAAATTTCTTGAGGAAGAGTGGTTCCTTTAATTGAGGAACATCTTTCTGAAATTGCATTCATATTCATTTATGTTAACTGTCAGCAAAATCCTTGTTCTACTGAAAGTCAGTGCCAAAACTCTCACTGATTTCAGTGTGCCCAGGATTCCACTTCATCATTCTATGAATTTAGCTGATTTTCCTGAGGAATTTTGAAACTCTTTGCCAGCTGAAGCCAAATACAATGGAGTGTTTACAGAATTATCAAAGATGTGAAACCTAAAGGTTTCATGAAAATCAAAACAAAGTATAAAGAGAAACTCAAACTAGGTTGCATCTCTGGGATTATGTAGGCATGTCTGTCTCGACAAACAGCTCATACATCACTTGAAACCAGGTAAAGCATGTGCTACCTCCTGCAGAGGCAGGGCTATGGAGCAAATCCATAGGGATTTGGTCTTCATTTGGCAAACAACCTGCTCCAGCTATAACAGCCGTCAGCGGTTCCAGGTACACAAGAACCACATTGCTGCATTTTATTATATTGTATTATGAATCACATGTAGACAGTGTCCCTCAGCCCTCTCTGGCTCACAGTACTGAGCAATGAAGCAACCTAGTCCCAGTCTTCTCTCCAAGTAAAGTTCCTATTTATATCAAAGGGAAGTGAATGTATATAAAGACAGTGACCCACACCACCCTAACCTTTCATTATTGAAGGCCACTGTTAAACATGTGTTTAATGTTGCATGTATTTTCAAGTTCTGGGATTTGGGGAAAAAAATGGAGGTTTTGATTATTTGCTGAAAAGGCAATTTAAATGAGAAAAATATTTATCAGTTGTTTAAGGATCAGTAACTTGACCTGAAAATACACATGTCCACAGGATCCCCAGCTATACTCTGATTCTTTCCTTTCTGCAAGAGTAGACAGAGCATATACACAACAGTATATGAGATATTGACATATTGAGCACAGTGACATATTAACAACAGTTAATATCTCATTTACCTTATATAAATGTACTCTCTTTAGCTTACTAAACACAGTTAGTGCTTTACCTTCAATAATGTTCAAGCCCTTATACAAGATGAGTTTATGAGAAAAGAAAAAAGGGCACTTTTACATAAAAACATGTTGCCTTTCACAACCTTTCTCCTTTCCACTGTAGTGCAAGAACATGCCTGTGGATTCTATGATAAAGCAAAATATCCAAAATATCAGAAATATGAAGTCAAGAGTTATATCAATTTTCCCTTTCTCCACTGAACCTACTTTTGAATGTCAGAGTCTATGTTCAGGCAACAACATAAATTTTTCTATAAAGCAGATTTATTTCTGTTTTCTAAACAAAAATCTGACACCTGCCTGAAATTTCCTATGGCAGTCAGTGAGTGTTATCAAATATTTTAACAAAAAATAATCCATTAACACTCAGAAAAAAAAAATAATAGATAAAGGCACAGTCTGGTTTTGTATCTATATATACATACACACACATATAATATATACATACTCATATAATTGTATTCCTCTGGAAATTCCTCATATCTTCAAAAGCTACACTCCAAACCCTCATTCTCCATCCTGTAGTTGATTTTTGTCCCCTAATAAAAATCCTTTTGCCTGACCCCATCCATTGACTTCTGAACTGAAGCCACTTTCAGCGTACTCCTAAACATGTTACATTTGTTAGGTTTTCCATAGAATTCATCAGGCGAATTCATGAGGACAAACTGAGACAAAATGCCTCATTAAGTAAGTAGCAGTGATTTCTGAAGTGCAATGACATCCGGGTTTTCTACTTCTATATCCCCACTGAGCAAGTATGCTACCTTTATAGGTTACCTGAACTACCATATGGAAGCAAGAATCCTAATGTGACCCCTGAGGCCAGACAGCAACATAATGACTAGTTTTATTGTGATCTCAACACATTCCAGGAGCTTAATAGCTGGAGATGTTCTTTTGCCAGCACAACAAACCTAAAGCAAGTACCAGATAAAACAGTGCTCTTTAAAAAGGCCTTTAAAATAACTTACACATGACAGCATTCCTCATAATACTAAATGAACATGAAAACATGTCTTATTTGTATGATGTTTACATATACAACAACATGATTAACTGCAAACTTGTCTCTCATGTATAAGAGTGTGCACCTCCTACCATCATATCCTTTGGGGGATATATCCCTGGATTGCACCTTGGGAGCTATGGCTCTCTTGCCATAGGCATGGTTGTCATAACTGTTATATTCAAACGTAGTCTTAGAGTATTTCTCTAGTTCCTTGGCCAAGTTGGAGCGGGGTGTGGTGGTGGGGACATTGTTTCTGTAGCCATACTGAGGGATCTCCAATTGCTTAACAAAGCACATGGGCCTAGAAATTAAAGATATGTAAAGTTTGTTAGATGCAGTTCAGTTTACTGTGTCTGTGCATAATTTATAGTTCAGATTAGAAAATCTTAGTTATTTCTTGTACTCAAGAGATAGCAATATATTTTTGCATTTGCTTAGTTTGGTTATTTTCAGCAGACAAACAGTATATATTTTCTTGAACAAAGCCTAGAAAAAATTAATTCTAATACCACTAAATGTATCTTGCAGGTAAAAGTATTTTAAAATTCTGTTTTAAAATACTTCAGGGTTTCCCTTTCCCAATGTAATTGCATCACATAGCAAACATTTTTCTCTTTTGGGAAGGGCAAGCAGTCTGACAGAAGAAGTTTTGACAAATTTATTTAAATGTCAAAAACAAAAAATAGCACTGGAAGCTCAACTTAATTAATGGAGTTTCCTCTGAATTTATTTCAATGGAATTGTATACTGTTTTCCTGTGTGCTTTCCATAGGAGCTAGTCCCGTTCCATCCCTTAATATACAAATCCATGTTCATCTTGAGAAATATACAGGAGAGTCTCACAATCTCTGCTAACTTTGAGCTGTTGCCTTGCAGGTCCTGCTCACCCTTAAATGCAGGGTTCTGGCAGGAAATGTGATTTCTGATACACAGGTACGCATCTCAAGGAAGGTCCTGTGAATGAATACAGAATAAAACTATCAGCTAAATTCTCTTTGGTTGGAGGATAGTAAAGAAAAGCCCTGACTGATTTCATTTGGCCATTGTTAAATCTCGGTGAAAGAATGATGTAATGAACTTCATTGTCACCCTGTCTTCTGCACATGGCCACAGAAATAATCAGCTCTCAGAGCAGGTAAATGATGGTCAGAGCCTGCAAACCTTACCTACCTAAGAAGGTCTTATATGACTGGGTCATAGGGAGCAACTGCTACACAGTGCTGCATGTCTACCTACTGTGTTTAGCAGGAGGCAAAGATGATGAACAGAACACCTGAGATGCTTCTGCTGGAATCAAGAATCATACAATCAAGCCTTTTTTTTCTTTTTCTTTATTTTTTTTTCTTTACTGCATTTATAACCAGAAGAAATGGAAGGAACATTCCTAGGAACATAAATTCAGTCAAGACCAGAAGTATCATCATGCTGACTGACAAAACGGAATATGATAAATAGCAAGAAATAGGTTTTGAATATTATATTATGTTTTTCTGAATGAATTCATTTTCTTAGAATTTATTCAGGATATTTATGTGAAGATCACCCAAGAAATTATATTAGTCATACTATTCCCTTTGATTTATGTATGATTATTCCTTTAGACACTTCTTCCTCACAGAATACAGTAGGTTTATTTATACAATGAGCTGATATGAGAAGGATTTTGATCCTATCTCAAGATATATTTAGCTAAAAAATTCAATTCAGACCTTGTACATTCAATGCAAATCCAAAATTTCTGTGGAACGTAAGTCTTATGAATTAGATCTCTTTTTAAGTAAGAAATTTTAAATGCAGGTGGGATGGAAACTGGATGAAGACAAATATTCAAGATTTACTCTTAGAACATCTCTCTCTCCCTATCAGTTGCTTGCATGCAAATAAACAGTTCCAAGTTCTTAATCTTAAATCAATGACTTAAAGGTAAGAGAGAGGTGGAACACAAGATGAAAGCACTGAATTGCCTATAAAATCTGAAATACAGGGCCAGCTCACAACCAAAGTTACAATTCAGCTCAACTTCTTAGGAAGCTTGTCAACAAACTGGATGCTGCTTTTGAGCAGTTGCCACCTTTGTATAGCCTCTGATAAGCAGCAGAAAAAGCCACTGCATTTTTGATCTTTTTTTCGTCAAGTGAGAAATTTTGTTACTCCCTTAAAGGGTGGTTTGTTTGGTTTTTTATTAATAGGATTTGAAGAACCCTTCTCTAAGAGAACTGTCTGGGATGCTCTATGAAAAACTGCATGATCTGAATTAGGAGCAGTTAAGATAACGCCTATCAAAAACAATGTGAGGAAGGAAAACAGTCAACAGGCACAACAAAAAATCTTCTAGAGATGGGAACCGTAATTCTCTGTTCTTAGCTTTATGGAAAGACTGGGTTTTGAAAAGACCATCAAGATTAGATGAAGTTTTAAGAGAATATTCAAAGAATGATGTTGATTATACAATAGAAAAGTTTCATTTTAAGCAGCCCTATCAGATTTTAAATCTGTCAGACAGCTAAATACTAAGAAACCTATGGGATAAGTAGGAAATTCTGGGAACTAAAGCTGCAGCACTTCCTCCACGCTCTTCGAGGCAGCTGGGAGGGATGTACTTATCCCAGCCTACAGATATCACAGTATCCATGGAGAAATTCTGCAGCTCTTGGGGCACCATCAGCATAAGGCTGGTACACTCATGCAGAAGTGTAGTTTCTTTGCGTGTATCCGTCACACTTCAGTTCCTTAGAAATAGTACTTTTTCCACCCACATATCTTGAAACAGACAATAGCACAAAGCTGGGTACAGCTCTGCAGAATCATATACAGATGAAGATAAGCCACATAATTATGTCTAATTGATTTAAGGTCCTTCTTGTATGAAAATTTAGGACAGTTTTTCTCTTTTTCTGTCTTTCCTGGCAGTAAGGGGGGAACAAAGACCTAAGCCTGATGTTATTTTGTAACCTAAGCTATACCTGGAATTTTTCCAAGTATCCCGCCAAAAGGTGTGCTACAAGTTTGGTAATACAAATAGGGCTTCTGGTTTAATGTAAACTGATATTTACTAGTAAAAGCCTGCTGAAAAAACCAAGACTTACCGGTAAATATTAGTTTATTCCCAAAAGATATCAACTTTTTTCACATTGTTCTTAGACTTTGCACTCCAGCAGTCATCTTTACACCAAACAATGCCTAAGACAAAAATGAGCTTTTCAGCTTTACATGTATTTGCCAAAATAATTACCAACCCTCCCCCATGTAGATTGAGTGGGAAATATACACTGTGAGAATTGGATCCAGAAGCCCTAATTCTACCTCTTCTTTAAAGGAGATATATATGTATATACAATGTATGTAAATATAAATTCTCAGATTAGGTGAATGTGTGATGAATTCTGCATAATAATAAGTATTATAGTGATTTCTAATACCTTAAAACCCGATCTGATGCCTGGTTTGATTTTGACACATCACAGTTCTGATGCTTCTCTTGAGCTTTAGCCAGTTTCTCTGCTGCAGCAATAGGACATCCAGAGAGGCTGCAATTACAGAAAGGAAATTTAATTGTCTTGTCCTGAGTAGTTTCACATTATAGCATTGATCCAATTACTCCTTCTCCTTAGCCAGCATCAGGAAGAATCTGAAGGAAAAGGGTTTCCAATAGCTTTTTGGTCATATATATTTTCTCTAGAATAGACTTTCTTCCTTCTGCTTTCAAAGTTACATGGTAGATCTCATATGTGCTCTTCTTCTCTGACTACATGGGTAATTATTCCTGGATGTCAGCCAGCAAATATACCAGTAGGGGAGGAGAATACAAACTGAAACCTAATGTGCAGCTCTGCTAGCGGACTTGTGACCTTTATGCATCTACAAATGTTGCCAACAAAATGGCTCCTGAGGATGATTAAATGACAACACCACATAGGCCAAATCTTGCACTGCTTCATAATTCATTCAGGTCCATTAACACTAACCTTTTTTTCTAGGTACAAAATGAGTGCAAAATTTGGCCTTGAATCTCTAAACCTACATCTCAACTGTGTTATACTTTGTGTTTTCATGAATTTCAGCCACTAAAGTACATTTTCTAGAAGTAGATGATGTAATGTGAAAAGAACTTCTGCACTTGAATTGAAATTCAGTTAGATATGCAAATGATGAATTTTTACTGAAGTGATAATAATAAGCCCGATTCTTCTGGAAAAGATTCAGAACAGGGAAAAATAAATATATTGATGCCAGCAGATGGTGCTCTTAGTGAAGCTGTAAAAACCTGTGACCTGAGAGTGGAGGGGGTCTTTTCCTTGTTATAGTCTACTGCATGCTTATGTGACCGCAGCTCTCTGTGCTCTCCACAGGAAAAGAAATTAAAATGAAAGGCAAAGCAGCGCATTCCCCTCCTCTACAGGAAATAAGGAGGGAAAAAAATAATTAAAAAAAGTGAAGCAGAGCAAAATGCCCCAAAAGCTGCAGAAAGAGGTGAGCACAGACTGCAAACTGCTCCCCGTAGCCCTCCCTCCTTGCCCTAGTTCTGCAGAGGGGTGAGGAGGGGTCTGTGCGGTTTTGGAGTCAAGCCAGAGGGCAGCTGCACTCTGCTGACATGCTCTTATTCAGACACCTAGTAGATACTCAACCAGAAGTGAATGCTGCTTCAAGCAGCAGTAATTCCTGTGAAGTCTTCTCAGAGGTTTTTGCTGCATCTATTGGCAGCATCACCGCAGAGAAGAAAGGGGTACCAGAGTTTATTGCAGATGAGCTGGTACCCACAAGAGTCTTCTGGGAGACATGTAGTTAATATGAGGGGATCTAGTAATTCAGAGCTTGCAAAGACTGAATGTCAAGGGCCTGCATAGTCCCTTAAGCCTTCATGTCACAATTAAGAGTAAAAAGGAATTCTGTAATGAGAACCCTGCATAGCTCCTGTTACCCTCTTAGCCTCACTTCATGGATTTTTGAAAATTGTAAGGAAATAAGCAAGATCTTGTTGATCTGTGTGAAAATTATAACACATACTAAAAACCATTGTAACATTTTGAAAATTTCATTATTTGTTTGGAAGAATTTAATAAACAATGATATCCTTTCTATAAGAATCTATTACTAATCTTCAAAAATTATAGATTTGATCTTCATTTGTTAGGCTACAATATTTACAGCTAACATTCCTGGTTTCTCATTTTTAAATTCAATGAGACATTTCCATAAGGTTTCTTAAACAGGCAAAATTCTCTTTCAGTTTTAGATGAATAAGGACTTTGGGATTGCGACTATGGTCAGTAAGAAAACTAACTCTTCTAATGTCTGTGCATGTAAAATGCTGTTTCTCACATATTAAAAAAAAAAAAATCATTTTAAGGAGTGTATTGTTTCTTAAATAATCCCTGAAGACAGTGAAGTGTGAAAGATAGAATTCTGCCCAAGTCCTGATGACAGTGGCAGACTCTTCTTTCTCCTTGTGACATATAAGAAGTTGTACCATTTGTTTTGTACCACTGCTTTTCAGCTAATATCAAAACAAAAAGGGAAAAAATCCACACAAAAAGCTAAAGAGGCTTAAAATGTTTTCTGTGGAATTCAATTCATCCATACTGAAGCAAACGCACACTCCTCCTCATCAGAAAATAAATGAATAAATGTTACTCTTTAAAATGAATAAAGCAAACGAAGCACCATCTGTCAATCTTCAGAACAAAACAACAAAACACACACTCACACACCCCCCCACGAGTGGACTGCTAGAAGGGCTGCAGTTTGGAGGCACTGTTCCCTCTAGATTGGTGTCCAGCGATGGCATCCTTACCTTCTGTGGGAATTCCTGTTGCTATTTACGTGGCCCCGGCCTGTGCAGCCTGGTGTAGGACACTTAAGAACATTTTCATGCATGGCAAGAACTTGACAAGGAGAGTAAGAGAAAACAGCAGAGTATGAAAACAAGAAAAAAAAAAAATCAAATCCCAGTATATATGAAACCATTTTAAAACAAAGCAGGATTCATTAACAACCAGCATTCCTCAAAATACACAACACACATAGCTAATAAAGCCTGATGAGGGAAGTAAATATTGTGACCCTATGCTCATTAACACAGGGCAACAGCAAAAGTTATGAGGGTTACAGAACCTATAAACAAATGCATCTCTAGTGCTACAGTGAAGCAGATGACTTGCAACATCTTCTTCATACAAAAACACTGAGCAAAGATCAGCTCAACAGGAAAAGGCAAGCTAGCAACTGTCCAATACAAAATCATTGCATAAAAAATTATTTCAGGAAATGTAAACATTCATAATACATAGCTTTATACATACAGTATCAAACTCAAGAGCTGAAAATCCACTCTCAAGTTATACTGATAGAACACTGAATTATTTGAAACAAACCTCAATACAAGCCTCAACAGAATTTAACCCTAACCATATGACAGCCCAATTGAGTTATGGGCCAGTTCTGCCAACTTCCACACAGATATATCATTCATATCTATATGACAAGCAGAACTGGTCCTGTAACTTTTACTTGTATTCTCTAAAAATGTGAAAATTGCAATGGATAGAACTCTTTTTCAAAAGACCAAAACCTAAAAATAAGCACTTAAAAAATTGAGGGATAGCAGAAGAAAAAAAAAAAAAAAAAAAAAATGAAAACTATGTAAAAAAGAGAAATGCAGTACAAGCTTAAGCAAGTAAACTGATCTACATTTGCATCCATTGCAAGCTGGATGGAAAACTTGCTCCCAAAGCTGCTCAGAGCAGTACTCCTCTAAATCATAAAGATCATGCTGACGTGCCAAATTATCAAGAACTATTTGGTAGCACTAAGGAGTTTTGTGTGATGTGAAACGCATGTGAATCCATGTCTCAGAGCTGGATGGCAGTACATCCCTCTACAGAAAAATGCCAGCCAACCCTTGCAAAGTTCTGGTTTTCTCAAACAAGAAGTAGTCTGGACGCCTATATTTAGTTTCAAAAAAAAAAAAAGTCATTGAATTCTTTGACTGAGTTAAGAACTGAATAAAAGCTGTTCAGAGACTTGAGAATTTATCTACATACACTGATTAAAAGATAACCATCATCATCACCCCATCATGAGTGTGCTAAAATGTGCATAGATGCAAAAGCTTTACTCTGAGATTTCTACTATTCAAAGCTGTTCTTGAAACATGCTTCACGAGGCCAACATCACGGGGAGAAAAAAACACAAAAAGATGAGCTCACCTTTTTCATTTTAGTAGGTACAAGAGCATGCAAACAGTTTAAAGCTATATTCTTCTTTGATTTACAAAGTCTTCTAAAGAGCATTTTATTTATTATTTGTAAAAGCGAAAGAACTTTGAGCAACCAAATAAATATTTGTTTCAGAGAATTACAGAGTGCTGTACTAGGAGAAATTACTCTGTACTACGTTCTGTACTGGCGGAGAAATTACTCTGTTCTACTTTATCAGAGATCAACCAAGCTACAGCAGTTTCCTAAAGCATTTCCTCATTACTTCTGGAAGAAGCCACCATATCCATGAAAGAGGAGACTTTTAATGTCTGCCACTCTTGGTATGCTCATCTACTTCCATTTTTACATCCTTAAGAACCTACTTTCCTTTGGAAACCAGTGACCATTTTATCCCTGACTGTCTTCATAACTTTTTCTTTACGCTGTCACAAATCCACTGAGGTTAGGTGTATGAGTGCTGGTGAACAGTGGGGATTTTAGGTCCATAGGCTTCAATGGAATAACTTCATTTTAAAATTGGTATGAAAGAGAACTGGATATTAGCTAGACACTTGTCTGGTGTAAATCAGCATAAAGCAATTACCTTCAACAGACCTATGCTGATTCCACCAGCCAAAGAGGTGACTTCAAGAAACTGAGTCCCCTGCCTTCAGGCAAACCACCTTGAGCTCATATGGGTGAACCTCCTTTGCAGAGAATCCACTGACAGGGCAGGAAATTCCACCCATGTGACTGACAGGGGATGTTTCCTCAAAATCCCCAGTTGTGACACTGAGTGAATGCCAAATTGTTATTTTTAATAATATAATTTTTTTTAACATGAATTATGTTTCTGACACAACAACAACAAAAGAAAGGGTGTGCAAGTTTTTCATTACTATTATTCCTGTACAAAACAGGGACAGTTGATGTGACATCGGCATGCAGAAGTAAAAGCAGTGCACATCTTCAGGAAACCTTTTTTCTGTTGACTGAATAAATCTATTTTAAAATAACCTAGGTTTCTTAAAATCAAAGAATACAGCTTTAAAAGTTGTTCTTTCAGTGTAAAAGTTAGTAGAGAATGGAAATGATGTAAGAAAGGAAAAGGTATATAGCACAGAACAGTTGACTAAAAGTTGCGACAAACCATACTGAAAAATGAAATTATTTTTTTTAAATAAAAAGTTTAAAAAGCATGCTAGAAAAATCTTTGTAGTTTTATCCCCAGTTTCCATGAAACAATGTGAACTTACTTTCTGGAGGGACCCTATCTTTGTGTGGGCATCCTGACAAACTGCGGTGATGGGGGTAAAGCCCCGTTACATGGCCAGTTCCATCACACCCAGGGGTAGGACATTTGCTTTCTTTCTTTTCTGTTCTTGAGGGATCTATAATTTACAACAAATTTGTCAAGTGAATGATGCTTTTCACATTTCTGTAAGAAGGTTCATTTAATCATGTCATTTACTCTTTGGTAAATGTTCTTATGAAAACTAAAACATTAAAAAAAACAGCAAAACAACAGAAACCCTTCCATGTCTGAACACACTTCTGTCACTTTTATTCCATTATCTTCTTTTCAGACTGCAGGCTCCTATGATCACTGCGATACCCATTCCCAGCGGTTGGAAAATGACCTTTTTATAGCAAAGCCATATCACTGTCAATCAATGTTCTGCTGAAGCATGAGCTCAAGGGTGTAAGGTCATTTGGAAACTATTTAGTTGGAGTTTCCCTTTTTTACATTCTTATTTGTCTGATGTATTAAGGCCCGCAAATGCACTGTTATAACATCTCAGTGCCCTGAGAGTAGCAAACCCAGCTCTTCAGGATAAAAATTCAACGATTCAGCACAAATAAATCCCTTTCCAAGGCTCACTGAGGAGATAACTCTTGTTTTTTCAAAATTCCTCATGAAGTGGTAGAAATTATGTAAATATTCTTTCTCTCCAATAAATTATGGTGGGGGAAACACTGAAACCAGAATTACTGAAAATATCACTTGCTTTGTAAATCTGGGCCATTGCAAACTTGCATATATATAATGCTTGAATATTCATATGCTTAAAAGGTTAATGATCTTTTAGAATGTTGTTGGATCATCTGTCTACAAATCAATGAAAAGTCTAAATAGACATTTTTTCAACAAAATAAAGCTTTCTGCCAATAATGTAGTGGAGCTGCTGGTGAGATTAATCCTGTACTTGAACTTTCTCACATACTTCATCAGCTTGTTTTCTTTAACAGAACGCCTGTAAAATAACATCCCTACCTTCCAGTCCAGCACAGGATATAAATTACATCCTCTCATCTTGACCACAGTTGCCAGATTTTGGACACTATTACTGATTTTCATATTAGTATTAAAGGAATAAAATTGAATATACTGTAACTGTAACTCTATACTCATTTTGGCTCAAGATCATCCAACAACCCCTTTCTTTTTTTTTTAGACCATCTACATTTCAATACCCAATCTCAGCTATACTCAATTATTTTATGCTGCTCTTGTAATTGCTCTGCTTCAGTATTTATGCTTTTGTCTCTGGAAAATAAGTGTTTGCTAATTATTTTCCATTAAGTCCTTCTTACATTAAATTCCATCCCAGCTTCAACAAAGGCAACCCTCAGTACGATCAGTGGAAATGTCAGTACTTCATACACATACAACCCATTGTTTTCACCATGAATCAATACAATCCCAAGTTCATGTTCAGTTGCAGACTTATTTCTCCTTGATTTCCCTCTGGTATTTTATATACGTATATATATTTCTATACTTTTACATTCCAAGTTCTTCCAAAACACCTTCATTTTAGATAAATTCTTTAGCTCACTGTAATGATTTTCCATGTCTTAATTCCATTCTTAAATTTTAATATGGTATTTAAATCTTATCTTTTGCAAATGGAATCCCTAATAATGACAGTTATATGTTAGTTAACTTGCATGTTGACTGTAGAACACAGTTCTTTGTTTCATGCTCTTTAATGATATAAAGATACATACAAATCTACCTCCAAAGTGCTATACAGTCATCACAACACTCCGGGAAAGACTGTACCCTTATACGTTAGGAAATTGAAGCAATCGAGAAATTAAACCCAAGGCCACAGAAGGAGCAAATGCCAGAGGAGGGATTTGAATTCCTGCCAGATAGGCCTGTGCTGAGACCACTAGAACAGCAAGCCCACAGCTACATACAAACACAACTCTAAGCAACTCTTCAAGTCAAGTACTTTGGGATGTGTAAAAGTATTAGATAACTGAATAAGTAATGTAAATGAAATATAAATTATGTAAATACAACAATATTCAAGGACTGCAAAAAATGTAGATGTTTAATAGACCATAATGGCTTCTTAGAGACGTTAAACTAGAGGAACTTTAGCTTATCCACATTGTCAGAACTCCACCAAAGTCAATGAAGGCATTCTGATTTAAAGCCACTGAGGATCCAGACACTCAGATCCTACAGTGTCAAGCAAAATCTGCTGCATGTTCAAGTTACAGCACGTATCAGATCCTTAAGGGCCATTATGGTCTAATGAGTCAGAAAAGATGCTGTATACTATTCTTAATGATTTCAAAACTTGCATAAAATTGTACTTGCACAATTTCCCATTGGTTTTAATGGAAGACATTTGACTAAAATTTTCACAACTTTATACAAAACACTGGATACTCTTTTGTAAGTTCTCTTCTGCTAATTGGGAGAAACATTGCACAAGTTTTTTTAATACTGTAACCTTTCCTCACTCTTCGCCACAATGGGAGTATTGTCTGAGTGAAGGTTGTCAGAGGATTCAAAAGGTTTTAGAATTCGTAAATTTCAGAAGAAAGACTGTTTAGAAGGCTTTAAATGGCAGGGGAAAAGGGCTAGTGGTCCCTTAACAGTTGTTTCAGCAATCTCTGAAAGCAGAATTCCTGAAGTCAGGAGGTAGTTCTCACTGCAAACTTGTGTACCCAAAAAGTTTCTGCTTAACCATATCATACATCTCTGCAGCTAGCTCTCCTGGGAGTATTTGGAAGATAATGTGGGAGGGGGGAACAAATGATATAAGTAATAGTGTTATTTAAAGATTCTCTCAACAACTACCAGAATGTTTCCTATGTTTTTTTGAGTAATGAAGGAATGTTTCTTTTTAGTTTCTTCCTTTTTTAAAAAAGCATAGAGTGATCCACTCACAAAGTTTCTTGGTCCAAACTACCATAATATTTAGTCCTCGTCTGAGGTTTGGACCTATTATCAATTTGGCCTGAAGCTCCTATGAGATAGGATGGTTCAAAGAACCTCTAGAATTTACTGAAATAGGAAGTCCATTTTTTTGTTACTGCCAGAAATTATATATAGTCTTTTTGGAAACAGCAGATCTATATGCATAAATGATTTCCCAGGCATACATAGACTGGAAGGGCTGGACAACACCTGAGATAAAAGAGCTCTTCAAAAATTAACATTGGTTTGCCATGTTTTCTGTGGTTTTATTAGGCGCATTTATTTAAAGGGAAATGTACCTACAACAGGTCATATGTGAACATTTAGCACAAAATCCACATGGCTATTGCAGTAATACACTAAATAAATAAAGTTGTCTCCCCCAAATACCCAAAGTTACTACAGCACTCACTGGAATATATATTTCTGTTAAAAATAAACAGAACTTTGCTAAAATACATTGCAGAAGAGTGTTTGGCATGAGTAATTTGCATGTTTTTCTAAATGACTGGTCATTAATTTAAGGTTTGCAAAAAAAGATCAAAACATTTTTTGGACCAAGATGCTGTCTGCCTACCTCAATGACACAGGCAGATCTTAGGGTATCACTTTTTCAAAACAGGTAGTTACAAAAAGGAGAAAAATGCCCACCATCTCAGTGGTAGAAAGGAAACCAAGTATTTTTACAACAAATACAAGATAACGCCAGTCCCTGGTTAGCATCTCCCAAGAAATACCATGTCCTCAACTTCCACTAAAGTCAATGGGAATCACAGGTGTTCAGTGAGTCTCAGGAGGTATTGAACACTTTATACAACACAGCCCTACATGTACAGATGTAGACAAGTTAAAGAGGGGTGTGGTAATATAACACACCATCACCATCATAATCTGGTAAATTAAGTCATTCTAAGGGTAACCTCTAATCTGTTCTTTTTTTTTTTTCCTTTTTCTTTTTTTCTTTTGTATTGAATTATAATCAAGGCAGCACCTTAACTGTTTCCACAATGGAATGAAACCAGTGAAGTGGAATGCACATAAGAAAGAAATTGCTATTGATCTCAGCCCAGGCCACACCATGCCTTGCATAGCAAATGGTTTCCATTACCTTACTATCTTAAGATAATTAATGTGCAGTCACTGCCCCTATCTTATGTTATCGGTCATTCTGATACTATTCAATATCTATCAGGCAATTCTACATTTTAGATGGGAGAGGCTTCATCAATAACTGTCTTCTGATGATAATTTTATAAGTTGTGATGCCACCTACCCAATCTAATCTGTAAAATATGCACTTCATAGCTGAATGACTACCTGCTACTAAAACCCCACTCTCCAATACAGTTTGCAACATAATTCTCTTCATGGCTTTTTAATTATTACTACAAAATATATTAAAAAAATGAGAAAAATCTTTGCCTCTTTCAACATGATCTCTGTTTTGTTTCCCTAAAAGTTCTTTTTTTTTAATTTGGCCAAATGATATTCATATCATTTGTACATACTTCTAACACTGCAGAATTAATGCTTTTATAATTGTAGCATGATTCTATTGTACAATTATGTCATACTACTACAGTTTAAATAAATTTTCCATTTTGTGAAATTAACAACTTCATTTCAGATATCTATGCAAAACTTAACACATTAGCTCACACTTTCTCATGACATAACATACGGTATATAGAAATATTACCTTTACCATAATATGGCTTTTTGACATGGCCGTCACTGGGTTTAGGCTTCCTGTCATCTCCAGAAAGGTGTCTTGGAGACTGTTCCTCATATGATCTCATATTATCCCTCCTTCCAGCTTCCACTGCCATTTTTTCTCTCATGGCTTTTGCTCTCTCAGTTTCCAAAGCAATTGCTTTCTCAAGCAGGGTTAAGTTACCTTTTGTCATATCAAACACTTCTTCAGACCTATCTGAAGTAATAGAGGTGGTATCATCGTCTCTTTCATGACAACCATCCTCCTTTGCACAGCTAGAAAAAGTCCTAGATCTGGGGCTCAACTGTTCTTCAAGCCTCATTAGGTTCATCATATCAGAGTAATTCCGGTCTGGTGTTCTTCCTTGGAAGTCATCTTCTTGCCTGACATGCTGACGAGTGTTCATGTTTTGCTGTTGATTTCTTTCCTGTGGGTTTGTCTCACTGAGTTTCCTAGCCAGATCAAAACACTGGTTCCTTAAGCACTCCAAACTGCTGAGACACACCTCTTCATCACTCTCCTCCACCATTTTTTCTGTAAGTCCATTGTTCACAGGCTTCCCTAGCATTACAAAGTTCATATTCCTATTATCTTGCTGTGAAGTACTGTCTGCATAATTTCTGTCATTAATGTTTTCTGAAAGCACTACACCATGTCCTTGTGCTAATAATTTAAGAGAGTCCACTGTTTCCCTAACAACATCACTGTCTAAGTCTAAACTCAGCTCACTTTTCCGACCAATATTTTCATTTTTGTCACTATCATCTTCCAGACTATTAGATGTATTGCTGTTCATTTCTGATTCTGTCCTGGCTCTGTATGCTGCATCCTCTGCAATTTTGCCAAGATTTAACAATGACTTGGCCACCAGTTCATCGTAATTATCATACTCATCATTATTGTTATCGTCTTTTTCTGTGTCTTGCATTATTCGAGTATTGTGACAATTCATTTGATGGTCTTCTGCATAAAAAACAGAAACAAAGAAAGAAACAAAGAAAGAAAGAAAAAGGAAAAGAAAAGAAAAAAGTGGCTACAATTGGAACTGTTGTTGCAATCACATGGATAGAAAACAAACTGCATGTCAAATATTGTTAATCATACAGCAATTCTATAACACTAAGGCCCATGTGAAGTGAATTTCTCTATAGTCCATAAGGCTATTTTTGTTTATTTGCTATTCGCATGAATTTATTTCACAAAACTGATAAGAAAAAAACAAGCAAAATGCTAATTACTGCTACTGCTAAATATTATGGCATAAATACTTATGTTTCTCCTTTTACTTCTGTATTTACAGTTTTATGGGGTTTATTACAATCACATTCCTAATATGACATAATTCCCTATGTTTCCAACTTTTCTTACTCCTGTATGTCCTGTAAGTATGGTAGATGGCAAAGGAGTGAGTACTACTGGATTTATTCTCTTACTGATGAACATGATTCACCAAAAGAGAAAGAATATACACCAAACAGGAAATGGTCACTTTTTTAACACCATATACACCATTAGTACTAGATAAGCAATGACTATGCAAAGATCAAAATGGCATTTTTACTTAGTGGATCCATCAGCAGAAATCAAAATCTCTCAGTTTACCTATGCAGACTGTGGAGAAGCAAGAATTGTACAAGAGCTGTTACATGAAAGGAAGACAGAAGCACTTGTATGCACAATATAATTTTAGGTAAATGCGCTTGCCCAAATTATATGGTCATATATACAGTCATGTTATCTACAGTCCTGTATATTGTAACATAATGGTGCAGAGTTGCCACATCTTACTTTGCTTTGTTTTAGCAACTACTGAATAATAAAGGGATAACTTAATAAAGATGGAGCCAATGTGATGCCCTGAGGGTGAGATTCATCTCACCTAACTTTAGACATGAGCAAGGCAGACATCTACATCCATTTAAGCTATTTGATATTCCTGTTCTTAGTCTGTAAGAGAAGCAGACACTTTAAGGATGCAGTCCACCTGATCTGATTAAGATTCCACCTTGAAAATAAAATTAGTAAGTACTAGAAGTGCCTGTTTCTCTACATTGACAACAAAAGGACTCGGACTAGATGCCTACCTTAAGAATATCTGTATTTGGTCAGATGAATATCATCCAAAGAGCATTTTCTGATATCTCACGTTCACTAAGAAGTTATGTTATTCTTAGACCCATTCTTAAATCACATGTACATTCATCATTATTTACTAATGAACGTCTCATAAATTATAATTTGATAATCAGCTACTCAAGCAGTATTTTAATGTCTTGCATCACAACTGGAAAAGAAAGTTCCTAAATCTGTCATTACATTGACACGCTAGGCCATTTTTTCAGCTGGTGCAAATTGAAAGAAGCCATAACAGCTAGGACAATTAACACCCGCTCAAGAGCTAGTCCATCAACTTCTGATAGCATCTTTTCAGCTTAAATGTATTTTCAACACTAGTACACCTAAACACATAGCATTTTCTAAAGTGTGACTTTTATGTTTTGGGTTAAACAAATCAAAGTGGGAAATTTCAGGTAGTAGGTGGCTTGTACACTAATGTTTTGGTGACAGGAAATAATTTTTGATAAAAATAATTTTTATATCAGTGGACAAAATAGTAAATCAGAATTTAAAATACAAAGCTCAACAACACAATAATTAATATTTCAGCCACAAGATAGTATTCTTTCTACACAGTGGTTAGGGATCCTGGGATGATAGTAGGCTGTAGTTAAGCAGCAGAACTGATAGGTGACTAGGCTACATCTAGGAGGAAAAAAAATTACTCTAATGGTAAAATACTATGTATGATATCTACTTGAATATGGAGGGAAGATAATTGTGAATGACATATGGTATTCTTATATGACAAGATATTCCAAGTCAATAGTGAGTAACCTATTTATCATTAAAGGTGGTTTTATTTTAGCTTCCTTTGTTCTCAAGGTAATAATAATTCATATCAGAGTATCAGATTCTCAATATAGAGGTAAGGGATGCCACTTGCACTTCGTATTTGAAAAATGTCCATCTTGAATGACTGCACAGAAGTACGCAGTTAAGGATTACTGGATAGTTTGTGCTATTTAAGAAGCAAACATTTTAATACACTGATAATTTTCTGAAGTGACATGTGCAAACAAATCCCAAACTCATTTAAATGTCAAGGATAAAATCTGAAGCCAAGAAGATTTTTCAGTAGAAACTGCTACTTTTGTGGGGTGCTTCTTGTAACCACGTCTGGTGGGCAGTAAGATGTAAAGAAGGAACATCAAAGTAATTAAGAAGCAGCAAGCTATAGCAAAAAAATTGCCAGTGCCTTCAAGTTTAGGGTATCTACAAACACTGGTGAAATCAGCCCAAATCTAGCTCTAAAAAGATATGAAATAAAGAATAGGAAAAATACGTATTTGAAAAAGTCATCCAGAGAATTGTGCAGGTACACAGTGACTCTTCTAGGCCAACTTTTGCAATGTGAAAAGTTTAAGGGTTTTCTTTTTTAAAAAGTGGTTTTGTGTTTGTTTTTATATGAATAGGAGTCATATAAATGATCACCAATGCGAGGAGTATGTTATAATTTGCCTCCGCAACAGTGAAAAGACAAAATACGAATCACATGCTGTATGAGTGAAGACATGTAAATCCTTTTCAGTAGGTGAATCTGGGTGAAAGCTTTAGCTATAATGTTTTTTAGTCTGTTTGTTTGGTTATATCCTTTTCAGTTCTCCTGCCCTTCCAATTTTAAAAAGTGTGGTGGAAGAGAAGGAAGTGAAGAAGAGATGCATGAATCCCAGATGAAAGCGGCAGGAAAACAGAATACTTTAATCAAGTTTTATTTCTCTTTTTTTATTTTTTGGCCTTCTTTTGCACCTTCTTTTTTTAACAACTGTTTTGCTCATGTTTCTTATCTCCATGAAGCAGTTAATTTTAATGAAAAGGATATTTATGTATACTATGTCATCTCCTCAAAAACTGTCTGTTGGATACAGAGCCTGCTCTAGTGAAGCATCTACGTCACCTGTTTATTAAACTGAAATTTTTAGTACTGAATTTTTGTGTATTACTTAAGGGTCTTCCAGAAAGTATGTTAGCCTAGCAGCTTCATGTGAACCTGTATGCCTTTTCATTGATTTAGCTCTGCAAAATCTAATCCTGCTTTCGTTTCCCATTTCTATGATTCCTAATATTTAACCTTTAACTCAGCAACTACATTTGTACTGTACTGTTTAATGGCTGATTGTTGAACATGCAGGACTAAAGCACCTACTCTGCCCTCTCTGTAAGTCATAACTTTTGTAACCATTGACCCACAACATATTGGTTTAATTGGCGAAGAGGCTGAGTTTGTCTCAAAAGACACAAATTAGCCAGTTTATGAAAAGTGCACAAAATTATCATATATCCTTTTTCCGTTAGCTTTCAGGTTGCATGGACTAGGAATTTGCAACACAATTGTAAAAGATTAATTTAGCCCTCATTTGTGCAATACTATGACAATTTAGGTATTCTTCATTGCAAAATTTGTTCAACTCCCAGCAGATATAACAAATGACAGGAAAAGAATTAAGTGAAGAGTATGTGGAATAACTATAAAAAGCTGGAAGACTTTAGCCATCTCAACAGAAGTGCACTCTTGTATTGCACTAAAAAAAGTGAATAATTTGGTTTCTTATTGCACCTTTCATCCAAGGATCTCAAAGCACTTTACAAACACTATTTCAAAAAGCCTCACAACACCCCTGTGAGGTAGGTATTTTAATCCCATTTTACAGATGGGAAATTGAGACACAGAGAAGTTGAGTGACTCTTTCCATGTCATACCAGGAGTCACTGGAGAATAACGACTACAGCCTCTACGTCCTTGATTATTTCCTCCCTTTGTTCCTAACACATCCATATTTAACCATTTATTTTTTTTTGGTGAAAGAAATGGCTTGCTGTTTTTAGTGCAGGGAGTCATGCAAAACAGCATCTTCTTTTTGAAAAGGAAAATGTACAGCATTTAGTTTGAGAGATTCTGCAGAGAGAGGCAATGATACTTCAGTAATAGCAGCTACATTCCTACCAAAGCCCAAAGACTTCACAAGCAAGACTTCCCAAATCTGTGGTCCATATATCCAATTACTCACTTTCTCCCAAGCACAGGAAAACATGATGGCTAACAAGCTGAACTTATATGTGGTCATAAAAGCTTCCTGCCCAGATGGATGATTTCATTATCCAGGCAGCACTGCCTGTTTTAATAATGCTTCACTGTTTTTGCTACCGCCATTTGTCAACTCCTAAGTGCTCAGCATATGATACTACCGCACCACCACTTTTCTCCCTCGAAGCTGTAAAGTGAGGTGAATGCATAACAACTCCACATTACCATCTATGATAGCTGACCTATGAGAAATGCTTCTCAAGAAGACACTAGCACAAATGAATCCCAAATATTAGAAAGTTACAGCATTGTATGAGGCAGGGGATTGTTTGCACATTGCTTCCTCCTCTGGGAAAATCTGATGAGCAAGAAACTAAAGAGCTGGAAATCTTAGTGAGCTCTCAACTACAACTCCACTCCATACTGGAGAAACAGAGAACACGTAACTTTCCAAGGGCCTAAGCAAGGTCTCTAAAAGTCTGAACACTCCTGTTTACATAGGATTTTGATCAGAGCCCAAGCCTTTGAATATGTCTGTTTCAGGGACTAACTGAACACGGAAGCCAACTATGTGCAATTCTTTCTTCAACTCTGCATAAGTACCTGAAGTTCTTTTACACCTCAAGTACTTTAGGTGAAGACCTAAGCAATTTGTTTTTACAGTACCTGATTCCTTTATGGACCTTATATGACTTAATGAAAGTCACAAGAAAAAGATAAGTATACTTGATGCACTCTAATTATTCCATTATATTATTTTTTTAATTAATACTCCCCTTCAGCCTCCTATACCTACTTATAACGGTTGTAATACTGGGAT